ATAACTGGATCATTTCTTTATATATATATATATATATATATATTAAAGAGAGAAAAATTAAATGTAAAATGTTTAGATAAAAATTAATTTTTATTGGAATTAATTAATGACCGGATCAAAATTATAAAAAAAAAATTTCATTTCAGTGACCAATCAGTTTCAGAACGAAATGAGAACATGGTCAAAGGTAGTAGCATAATTTAACTTGTTGATGTTTGTTTTCAAAAGAAGATTGGGTTGATTAAATATAAAGTATTTTAATTCCATAAAATGTAGTATACTATTTTTGTTTTTTTTTTTGTTTTTTTTAATTTAAGAGCAAGTTACGCTTCTACTAATTTTGAAATTCAGTGTCTCACGATGAATTTTAAGACTTTAAAAGATAAAATAAAATTTCAAAGCCCATAAAGGAAATGTTTAAAATATTATTTTACTTTAAATTTTAAAATTGATAATACAAAATTTAAATCTAGCTATTGACCATCTTAAAAGTTGGAAAGAAGAGACTCATTTACAATTATTAATATGATTTATTAATTTTAAAGCATTAAAAATAATATATTATCATCTAAAAATAGTGTAATTTAAACATAAGCTTAAATATATTTTTAGTGCATGTAAAATAAGACTTTAATTTTGGTTCCAATAAATTTTTATTTTTATTTTTCATTCTTTTAAAATTTGAAATCACTAATTTTAATCTTTATTATTATGTGATCTATTTTAATTACTTATGTATTTATTATAAGATTAAATAACTATCTCAAATAGTACCTATAATTGTATGTGATATAATGTCACGATACATTTGATTTTTTTATATAAATTTTTAAAATTTATATTATTTATCTATCTTAAAATAAATGTTATTTGCATAAAAACAATTCTTTAAATATCAACTCAATGAAAATTAAAGAAAAATATTTTAAAAACTTAAAGAAAATACTTATTTTACATTATAAAAATTATGATTCCAATTTTATAATATAAAATAAAGAAAAAATTCATACGAATTCACTTATTCTAGGAGAGATAAAAACATTTAAGCCTTTAAGATAAAGAAGAAAAAGTACTTACTAGAAAAAAGTTTTTTTTTTATCAATTAAAATTTATAAAATACTCCTCTATTTTATAATAAGTGTCAAATTTAAAAAATAAATAAGTCTTAAAATAAGTGTACGATAACCTTTTTAATTTATTCTTTTTATTTTCATTTATATCCTTCATAATTTTTTTTTAAAAAATGATTATTATGTTGTATCATTAATAATAAAAAAGATTAATTTTGTAAAATTATTATTCTTTCATTTATTTATTAACTTTTTTATCTATATAAAATAACTTAAAATAATACTTATTATGAAGCGATGAAAGTATAAGAAATTGAATATAAATTTTCATGTAACAAGACCAACCACTATTTCAACATTTATGATTATACTATAAGTGTATTTATGAGTTTGCTAATCATTATTCATTACTCATAGGATATTGCTTAAGAAATGAAGAGAATTTTTATTTAAAACTACTCCACCCTCCCTCTCTAGTTCTAAATAATAATATAAGTAATCAAAGAACAATACATGCTAATTTAGAAAGTGAGTTAATATTATTTAATTGTATAAGTCTTATTTAAAAGTAATATAATTTGTTAAATTGTTTTTTCTTAAAATTTAATATTAAAAATAAATATCATTATAATACAATTTCAATTAAATAAAAAAGTATTTTATAGACAATAAAAAACAAATTAAATTTAGTTAAAATTTATTTATATTTGAGATTAACAAACATTTTTTTTCTTCTTATATTCTTAATAATAAAGAGTATAATAAAGTTTTACAAAAGAATATGCAATTACATTTTTTAATAAAAAAATTTCTTTTTTGGTTCTTTAACAAATGATCTACGTCACTGTTTAACATTTTCTTATATTTATTTATTTTTGTTATGAATTTGTTTTGGAAAGCGTAAAATAAAACTTTCAATAAATTATTTTACTTTAAATTTCTTAACCAATAATCTTACGTCACTGTTTATTATATTTTCATTCTTATATACAAAATTCAATTATTTAATTCATCAAGATTAAAAAAATTAGTTAATTTAGTTGATAATAATAAACTTCTTATATATATATATATATTTTAAAACTAATTTTATACTATTTTTGAATTAATACTCATGTATTTTTATACAATTAAAGTATATATTCTATATTATTTTTTTAATTATTAATAATTTTTTAACTAATTAAAATATATTATCTTTAAAAAAATTATAATTAAAATATTCTACTAAATTAAAAAATTTAATTTAATTAAAAATATTTTAAAACCATATAAAGTTTGTTAAATAAAATAATATAAATTAAATTTTATATAAAAATAAATAATCATTCTAAATTGAATCTCATAGATAAGAAAAGTTAGTAATAGTTTATGTATTTTATTTATTTGTTATGAAGATGCTTTGGAAAGCGTGATGTTTGAATCAAGTTGTTTATTAATATCGTGGGGTAGTTGGACTACGGCATTTTTTTCTTTCCATGTTATTTTTGTGAAAATGTGCAAAAAAGTTAGCCAAAAAGTAAGGGGACAACCGAAAGCAGCCACTGCTAACACAGGAGTCAAAAAGATTGACCTTTCATCTATGCTACCCTGTGGTGGATATTCTACCAAAAAGGGGAGATTTTTATTGAAAATATATCATGATTATCAAAATCAGACCGAATTAGTTGGTTATTTTGGTCAGATTGAAAATCAATTTTTAACTGCTTGATTAAAAAAACCATTTTACAATGAATTAGTGGAAATTTATAGAACTGGTTTAGAATTGAACAAAGGAGTATAAATTGGTTTATTTAATTTTTTTTAATTTTAAAATTTAATTTAAAATATTTTAATAAAATATATATTTAATAAAATTTATAAACTGCAATAAATACTTTTAATATTTGTTTATAAATATAATTTAATATTTTGTGTTAATTTATATTTGTAATATCTTTATTTTTTATAATTTATATTATATGAATGTAATACATTTTTATTCTATACGATAACATGTAATATTATAAGTTTTTGTTATTTTTGTGTTTTTATCGATAATCATTTGTTTTAGTGTTTTGAAGTATGTTTTTGAGAGACTTTAAAAGTTAAAGAATTTTTGAGGAGTTTTTAGATGTTTAAATGATTTCTTTAGTAGTGTAACACTCAAGTTTAGAAGGGGTCCCATAATCTTGTTCTTAGATAGTGAGAGCTATGTAAGAAAAGTTTACTCTTTTCTTCTTCTTTCTGAGACCTTTTCCTTCTCCTTCTTCCTTTTGTAGTTGACCAGAGTAGTTGAGTTGTTGGTTGGATTTGGAACATTACGGAGTTGTGTGGAGCATCTCTTTTTCCCCTTTCTCTTGTTGATTTTGATTTTACAAGAGGTAAGAGAAGCTTGTGGCTTGAATGATCTATGTTGCATGTGGTTTGATGTTGTCTAGAATTACCTAAGTGTGGTTGATTATGATGAAGATGCATGAAATGTGGCTTGCTTGAGTTTGTAGCACTTAAAGTGGCATATGAGTGGAAATGTTGAATCTTAG